AGTATGATGAAATGTAGGTATGACTATTAAGTATTTCTGTACTGTTGCTATTACAGTATGATGAAATGTAGGTATGACTATTAGGTACTTCTGTATTGTTACTATTACAGTATGGTGAAATGTAGGTATGACTATTAAGTACTTCTGTATTGTTACTATTACAGTATGATGAAATGTAGGTATGACTATTAAGTACTTCTGTATTGTTACATTTACAGTATGATGAAATGTAGGTATAACTATTAAGTACTTCTGTATTGTTACATTTACAGTATGATGAAATGTAGGTATGACTATTAAGTACTTCTGTATTGTTACATTTACAGTATGATGAAATGTAGGTATGACTATTAAGTACTTCTGTATTGTTATTATTACAGTATGATGAAATGTAGGTATGACTATTAAGTACTTCTGTATTGTTACTAAACCAGTATAGTGAAATGTACATTTAAGTGTCTAATAAAATTGAAAAATATAGGAAACTTATAAATACAGCTTTGTAAATATTTCTGAGTGGTAAGTAAACTTGTGTGGGAAAAAAAAAAGAGTAAGTTTCATGCAACTTCAGCTATATTTACCCCTAGAGATATTGCTGCAGCTATACAGAGGAAGGCCACATACAATTTTGACAAACTGCTGTATGTGGTGAGTGAAAGAATGTTTTTATTTTATCCCTATATTCTAGAGTCAAAAAATGTTCAGGATTTTCTGTGTAATGTGTTTTTGATTATCCAACTTGTGTGCATTATACATGATTTATTGAGGTTCGAGATGTCATTCTGTTACACATTACTGTAAACAGTTACGCTAAAATATATTCTGGTGAATTTGAGTCTTAGACTATTGTGTTTCTTAATGGTAATTTTAATGGAAAATGTAAGAAACCTTACAAATCACTCAAAAAAGTATAAAACAGTTGTACGAAAGTATCTTGTCTATAAAACTATTACTCTCAACAAAAAAAAAATAGTAAAATGAAACTAAGAAGCAAAATATTTTGTAATATTAAACATGAAAGACCTGTAAATCTAAAGCTGTTTGAAAATTAAGTATTAAAATATTTAAAAAAATTGTGCAAAATGAAAAAGGATTTTATGTTCCCCCCTTCTTTTTTTTTTATGGTGACAAAACTGTACATATTACTGAATGTGCGATCTCATTAAAATTTTCTTTTTGCAGTACAGGTGGACAATAGCCAGAGTGACCACTTTTCTGCACTATTTAGCATTCTAAAACTGTTGGACTACAAATGGTTTAGGTATTTAGTATCTTTGAATATAGATAATTCACTTAATATTGAGTGTTTTAAACCTGCTGGACTGTATATGGCTCAGGTAAATAGCTAGGTTCTTAAAACTGTTGGAGTACATATAAATGGCTGAGGCAGTGTTTAGTGTGTTAAACCTGCTGGACTGTATATGGTTCAGGTAAATAACTAGGTTCTTAAAACTGTTTGAGTACATATAAATGGCTGAGGCAGTGTTTAGTGTGTTAAACCTGCTGGACTGTATATGGTTCAGGTAAATAACTAGGTTCTGAAAACTGTTGGAGTACATATAGATGGCTGAGGCAGTGTTTAGTGTGTTAAACCTGCTGAACTGTATATCACTCAGGTAAATAACTAGGTTCTGAAAACTGTTGGAGTACATATAGATGGCTGAGGCAGTGTTTAGTGTCTTATATGCATTGGATTACTTGTGGCTCAGTTAAGCAGTTTAAATGATGATGAACCTTATATTATTTAATCAATGTTGAGTGTCATTGAGTTACATGCAATGGAGTAAACATTGTTTAAATAATGTTAAGTGTATGTTGTAAAATTGTTATAGTTATTATATTAAAAGTACCTCTAGTTATGTGAATGAAAGGCTTTAGACTGAAGGTTTAAGGAAGTCTGTTTTTTTTAAATATCTTTTAGTTCAACTTGAAACTTAAAGTATCATTTACTTATTGTCAATGTATTTTGAAGTAATATTCTCTATGTATACTTTTGTTTTGAATATTAGTACTTTACGACACATAAAATTTGGTCGTGTTCTGGGCATGAGTTCCAGAAGAGGAGACATGGTTTTTCTCAGTGATATCTTGGATGAAGCTAAGCATCGTGCTCTGGAAAAAATTCGGTCTTCTCCAAGTATGTTCTTGTACCACTTGTATTTAAAAGTTTGAATATCAACCACAAGTATTGTAGGACAGACAGTTTTGATATAGCTTAAAATCAATTTTAGTTTTAACAAATTCTTGAGAATACAATTAGCAACTTTCACAGTAAAAGACAGTTAAAATAGTGGAAAGGATCATAATTTTGTTCCTTGATTATTAAACAGTTAAAATATTTGAAAGGATCATAATTTTGTTCCTTGATTATTGAACAGTTAAAATAGTGGAAAGGATCATAATTTTGTTCCTTGATTATTAAACAGTTAAAATATTTGAAAGGATCATAATTTTGTTCCTTGATTATTAAACAGTTAAAATAGTGGAAAGGATCATAATTTTGTTCCTTGATTATTAAACAGTTAAAATATTTTGAAAGGATCACAAGCTTCTGCATTCTCTAAGTAAGATGTATTATATAATTGTTACTTTAATTAACAGAATTGATTATATTATTTAATATATTGAATGGCAATGCTTTTATTTTATTATAGAGATGGTTTTACATTCTTAGCTTATACAGCTTTTTCTGTCGGACAGTTTTTTTCTGAAGATCAAAAACAGTTTTAGTGCTTTAAAATTGATATATGTCTATTTTTTTTCTTTGACTATCCAATATGCAAAGTAATTTTAATTTTAAGATTAAAAAATACTTTTATACGTAAGAAAATTTTCAAATTTCACATGTATAATCTTTATAACCTCCAGATAATTATCAAATGTTTTTTTTAGAAAAAACTTTATATTTTATCTATTATTTTCACTATTGTATCTCTATGTGTTTGGTCAATTTGACCGACCTTGTAACCACCTTAATAAATTAGGAAATAGATATAAGTTATGCTTTTTTCCTTCTAGAATGACTACAAATTATAACATGAAAACACAAAAGTTTATTCTAAATAGCTTAAATCTCCTAACATTATAGGTCTATATATGTATTTATTATTTTTATTTTATTGACCATTCAGCCATGTTTGACTAACATTACAGAAGTTGCAATGATGTGCCTCATGTGCACTCATGTTACTGTATCCAAGAATATAAAACTGGCCTTTACAAAGTGACCTATCTTGGCTGTGTTCTAGTGAACTAATATTTTGTAGAATATAATACATTATATAAGTATATACATTATAACTATTTCCAAATTTCTTAAATTTCTATTCTTTTTCTTAAAACATAGAACATAGAGATTAAATTAATGCTTCATAATGTACGATATCCTGATTTTACACATTGAAAAGATGTTTGTTCCAAGAAAAGTTAAAAAACTTTCAAATTTTAAGTATCTTTATGTTTTTCTGTTGTTGTTTTTTTTGTGTAATTTTATTGTACTTATCTTCACCATTATTATACTTTATAAGTTGCTGCTCCCATCCAAGGAAAACATTAGTTTTATTGCATATTCAAACATGTGTTCAACAATATTTTAAATCACCACAACATGTTGATAGATACAATATAAATTACTGTAAAACAAAAGTTATATAGTTAGGTGATTAAAAGCATTGTTGAACATAAATGTATGTGTATCGTGTGCAAGTTAAGTACACTAGTGATCAGCTAATACATGAAAAAAATTATAGTTTTCTAATCAAATGTTAAAATTTTAGCCACAAAAGTTACAAAAGAGATGGAAGAGGTGGCAGATGTCTTAGGAGTCTCAGCAGTTCTGATAAACGACATGAAGAGCAGGCGACGGAATGATTACACTTTCAAGTGGGAACGTGCAGTTCAGGATAAAGGAGATTCTGGGATTGTGCTTCAATACAGTCATGCACGACTAGCTAAGTAAGAATATCATAACATATCTCTGTAAATTACATTTCAAAGATCTTGCATATCTCTTATCTATTAATAAACAAGACAGTAGTTGAAACAACCACACCAATTACTGGTTAATCTTTTATATTCCGGTGTCTTTATTCATTTATTTATAAAATGGCAGTATCTACACTAGAAACTGGTAAAATTGTGTTTATCTGTCTGCTACAGGTACAATGGTATTGAGGGTAAGTTTTATAATTGTTTATATTGAATTTTCAGTAAATAAAGAATACACATTTTATATATTTCCTTGAGCTTTAATACATTTGATTTTACTTTAAATTGCTTATCATCATAGCTTGTGCAATAATTGTGGAAACGAGGAGCTACAAATAACATGTACTTAATAAGTTACGCATAGAAGAAAAATAGCATATTAAATCACACATATACAATCACTCTTACATATTAAAATCCATAGTATACCTCACTACTATTGATTAGCTGTTAGTACAAGCTAAGTGCATCATTTATATAACTGAGATATCTATATTGATTCAAGTAATATTTGTATGCCATTATAATGAACTGATAGCTTTTATAAATTCATAAACTTTTAAAGGGACAGAAAGAAGTTTTGTTAGCCTATCAAGGATGTCCCTCCCAACTATAACCACCCCTTACTACTAATCTATTCATCCAATCTTTACTTGAACTCAGTTAAATTTTCTCCCTCCACCACCCTTGAAGGCAGCTCATTCCAAAAGCCAACCACCTTGTTTGAAAAAATAATACTGTCTAAACTGCAGACGACTCCTACCCTTCAAAAATTTGAATTTATGAATCCTTGTCCTATTGTTTTCACAGCTAAATACAAAAAGTTTGATGGATTTATATTATCAATACCCTTAAAAATATTAAACACCTCAATCAAATCCCCTCTGACTCTTCTCCTCTTCAGAGAAAACAAGTTTAGAGATCTCAGATATCATCCCAGTGGCTTTTCTCTGAACCTTCTCCAACAGTTCAATGTCCTTCTTGAGGAAGGGAGCCCAAAACTGTACACAGTACTCTAAATGATGCCTTACAAGTGATCTATACAGTGAAACAATAATATCCGTTATCTTGTATTCAATATTTCTATAGATGTTACCCAAAATCCTGTTAACCCTATTGCTAGCTAAAATACAGTGTTTAGATGACTTAAGTGATTTTTCAATCACAACACCAAATCTTTTTCTTCAACCACAGTATTTAATGTACTTCCATTTAAGTTGTAACAATAATTTGAATTGTGAAAACCTACATGCATCACCTTATATGTTGGATAGTTAAACATCATCTGCCATGTATTGACCCAATGCATCAAATGATCTAAATCTCCCTGTAAGTCTGCAGCATCTTTGATACAGTTAGCCACCCCAAAAATCTTAATGTCAATTACAAACTTCAAAATTTTGTTAGTCATTCCTGAGTCAATATCATTAATATAAATTGATCTAAGACTGGCATTCAATCCTAGTGACCTTCTTAGTATCTCATCTCCACAATTTATTGTTGTCAATATCCCTGACAAAATCAAGCTATGACCACTTTCCTTTAATGCTTTTATCAATGTTTTATACTTATCAATAAGGCTTTCAGATCCATCTTACCTTGCATCATTAGCCCCAACATGTACCACAAAAACAGCATTGCTACTAGCACCCTTAACTATCTCTCTGGTTTTATCAGTTATATCCTGTACCGATGCTCCTGGATAGGATAAGCGTATTCTTTTGCTCCTACTTACTCCACATACAACTCTATCTACATGCCTAATTATAGAGTCACCTACAACTATAACTTCCCTATCCTTTACACTATCATCCCTTGTGATCCCATCTGTTTCCCTTACCTGCTCCTCCTCATCACTAGCAAGAGCTTGGAACTGGTTGCTTAACCTAAACCCAAGCCCATCCTTGCCCCTAAATGCATTATTTTCCAGGCTTTTAGTCCTATTTCCTTTGTTAGCTCCCTTGAAATCCTGTTTGCCAAATGTACCTTTTACATGTAGAAGTTTAAGTTCTTCATTAAGCCTCGCCACCACTTCAAGCAATTTACATTTCTTCATTTCCACCTCTTCAACTCTACCCAAAATACTGTCCAACTTCTCCTCTAACCTGCACACCCCACAAATAAATTATACATCCTGGCTACTAGCCTCCTTAAAAGTCCGCTTTAACCCAGAGTTTATAAGTAAAACACTCACCTGGCATCATTCATACTGTATCAACTGAGAACCCTTAGTAGCTAGACTATTCTTGACCATAGCTGATAATTATATTGACTGTAATTTTAAGTGTAAAGAAGTAAAGATCATATTTAATATGCTATTACTATTATTATTACTAACATGTAACAAGTTTAATCTAACTTCACTAGCTTACTATACTAAATGTTTAACACTAATCTCTATATATAAATAATAATATAATAGATTATAAATATTATAAGCACACTTTCGTCTTTAATCAAAAATCTTACAACAAAAATCTAACGTTAAGCCTAATGATAATAGTAAACAAGTAACTGTGTAATTGTAATCCAATTTAAACACAATTTTCACTTTAAATATCAGTACTTATCAACTTTAAGATATCTATTACTAAACAACTTTTAAATGTCTTTACAACCGATGGTGAAGGAAGAGAACAATGAGCCACAGTGCAGGATCTTACTGTAGGTCTCCCAGTTACATCTTTTTTTTTATACTTCAATGAATGTAGATGAAAAGTTATTCATAAAAATTATACAATCACCCACAATTACAGTTTTCTTCTCACCTCTTTCATTGTTCATGTATTTCATTCTGTAAACAAAACATGAAGCTCATCGTGTAAGACCAGTCAAAGCGTAAACTAATTTGGTAGGTGGAGGGCTCGGCAAATTATCTTGCCAAAATTTAACACTTTTCTGGGACACTATATATAACATGGACCCATATCCAGTTGTAGCTGGTATCCCTCCATCACTGATTATATGTAACTCATAATGCTTTATGTGACCTTATAACTAAATAATGCTTTTTTCTTTGGAAGTGTATTGTTTGACATATTGTTTCTTGTGTTGACTTATGTGTAGGGATATTTGGTGTTCTATTTCAGTCTTCAAAGAAACTGTGGTGTGACCCTTGATCTCAACTGTGACCTATCTGCTTTACTAGAACCTGAGGCTCTGTATTTAGTGCAACATCTTGCCAAGTAAGCAAATTGTAGTGTATGTAATTCATTCTACTTGAAACTATTAATTTCATAAATAAATATTAATTTGATAACCTTAAATTTCAAGGTTTGACTGTTTATAGAGCTTCCATTTTATAAACTTGATACAGTTAGCTTTAGTTTTAAAAACTTGTTACATATCAAGGCATGACTGTTTATAGAGCATTGGGGAAGGCTAGAAAGATAAATGACGAAAACTCAGTATTCGTATACTTTCTTCATAGAAAAAAAAGAATTTTTCACACCAATTTTAGGGGAATCGACAGAAAAAAATATATTTGTCCAGAGGGCACAGTTGTGTACAGAAAAGATTGTTGTGTATGATGATTTTAAAAAGCAAATTTTAGCATGTTTGATTACTCAGACTATAAGGGAATTCCCTGAAGATTATCATTATGTTTGACTATTTTTACAGTATTATTTCTGAAGAAAAATAAAAAGAGCATACTGATGATTAGTTTTAAACAGAAAAAAGTATTCGTACAGTACTTCATGATATATCAAAATATCTAAGTGACACAAGTTGAGGAGAGGCTGAATATAGAGATCAAATATCATAAAACTTATGTAAAGATAATGAGGCAAAATGATACAGTGAATACGATATCAGAGGTCGACTTAAACTGTTTAAGAAATTTTGTTCATGTATACAGCTTTATTTTATTCTTAGCACATGTTCCTAAAAGCAGGACATGAAATCTTACTTGTATATAAAAGCTATCTATGGGCAAAAGTTAAAAGTTGGCCAGTTTAAATGTTGACTCCCATTGACCTAAAATTGGTGTAAAAAATTTACTATCAGTTTCAATGAAATACTACTTTAATGCTATGAATATTTTCAATCTTGCTCACCGATCTTTCCAGTTCTTTATACATTTCAAGGTGTGGCTGTTTTTAGGGCAATATGTTTATAATAACATATATATGTATTACAATAATGTCATGATGATTTAAAAGAAAGATAAATTGTGTTATTTTGTTTTTTCTTAAGATTAGAATTTGATATTAATTGAAAAGGAATTAATCTTTTCAAGCATGAGTTAATTTGTTTAGATTATTATTACTGTAAATTTATCTATTATTCTCAAAAGGTGTTACTTTGATGATACATATGTTATTGGATTTTCTTAACTTTTGTTTCCAGATTTGACGGAGCGATACTTGAAGCTTATGAAAGTCTGGAACCATGTGTCCTTGTCCAATACTTGTTCTCCCTCAGGTATTCCTCACATTTCATTAAGTGTAAACCATTCATTCCAACAAAATTAACTTTCCCATTAAAATTATCCAACAAATCCAACCAGCCTATTTGCTCAACCCTACATATTGATCTAAGCCTGGCATTTAATCCTAGTAACCTACTTAAGTATCTCATCCCTACATATTGATCTAAGCCTGGCATTCAATCCTATTGACCTTTTTAGTGTCTCATCCCTACATATTGATCTAAGCCTGGCATTTAATTCTAGTGACCTACTCAGTATCTCATCCCTACATATTGATCTAAGCCTGGCATTTAATCCTAGTAACCTACTCAGTATCTCATCCCTACATATTGATCTAAGCCTGGCATTTAATCCTAGTAACCTACTTAATATCTCATCCCTACATATTGATCTAAGCCTGGCATTTAATCCTAGTGACCTACTTAGTATCTCATCCCTACATATTGATCTAAGCCTGGCATTTAATCCTAGTAACATACTCAGTATCTCATCCCCAAATTTTATTCTTATCAATATCCCTAACAAAATCAAGCTATGACCCCTTTCCTTTAATGTTTTTATCAATGTTTTATACTTATCAATAAGGTTTTCAGATCCATCTTTCCTTGCATCATTAGCCCCAACATGTACCACAAAAACTGCATTGCTACTAGCACCCTTAACTATCTCTCTGGTTTTATCAGTTATATCCTGTACCGATGCTCCTGGATAGGATAAGCATATTCTTTTGCTCCTATTTACTCCACATACTACTATCTACATGCCAAACTATAGAGTCACCTACAACTATAACTTCCCTATCCTTTACACTATTATTGTAATTCTGTACAAATGTCATGCTTGTCTATCTTACAACACCTGATCTGAATGTAAGATCGTTTATTGAGCTTATTGGTGGTGTTTCATATGCAAGGTCTTTCACCATTGTTCAAAATTTCTTATTTGTTTCAGGTTATAAGCTTAAACAACCCCTTTTTCCTTAAAAAAAATATATGTGTCACTATTTACATTTTTTCACATTCTTTGTGCTATTTAAAAGTATTCATTTACTACTGTCAAAAGATTGAAAGCTATGAAAATGTTTTTCCTATAGTCTAGTCTTAGCAGTTTTGCACATGTTTTACTTTATTGAATATTTATTAAAAGTTTCATGTTTTTTTTTTACATTTTTATGAATAACTTAGGTTCGAGCTTTTCAAGACATTTTCAGTTCGACTGGCAGAGTACCAGATTCTGTAACTTTTCACATTTGTTTGAGAAGACAGAACAATTTGTAAAATTATGTAGAATACTTTGTTTAAATTAACCATTCATTTGCTCATGTTGGAAAATATACTAGTGTTTTATCATAGATTTGAAGCCATTTGTTATCAAAGTTTTTTTTATATACTATTATGCTTAGATTACAGCAATCCCAATAAAACGTCTATATAGATCACTTAGCCTACAGGAGGACTGATATTTAATGATAAGTCTAAAAAAGTTGTATAAATAGTGCCAGCTAATATTGAAACTTGGCTCCATCATCTGATATTGGTCATTTAAAACCCAATAAGATTGTGTTGAATACTGAAGTATTTCATGGGATTATTACGACACCAGAGAAAAGCTTGTAAACATTTTCTGGATATTATAAATACCTATATTCGAAAACATCATAAAAATATTCATACAATAATTGCAACTAGAATTAGTTAATGGGAGTTTTTTTTTTTTATATTGCACAAGTTTATAAATTTATATATTTTACTTAAAATGTTTGTATGAAAATATTTTTTAACAGTCAGCGTATGATTACATCTTGTTGATAATAATTTCTCTGTAATACACTGAAATGTTGCTTTAAAAATATTTTTCTTATATTTTAGTCATTTAGTTGGCCGTGCAAACAAAGTTCTTGTAGTGAAGAATCAAGACAAGGCTGTTGCTCAGGTAAATGGAAACATTAATACATTCTATCTTTATGTATTTCTTGTCCTTTAATGAAAGTATTTTAGTTGAGTCACGCTTGTTGGTAATGTGATTCACCTACATTTATGGTTCAGTAAATTGTTGGGATGTTATTAGCCTTGTAAGAAAGTGTGGAAGTAATCCTGTTGTGATACGAACATTTTAAATGGCTCTAAATACAAGACTTACAAAAAGTCACGGAGTTGTATTCTATACCTTTTACATTATTTTGCAACCCCTGATTCGATATCTGAATGCGAGATTGATTATTGATCTTATTGGTGGTGTTTCATATGCAAGATCTTTTGCCATTGCTCAAAATTTCTGTTTTTATCTACTATATTTGGTATTACTTTAGGACACATAAGATGTGTATAAATCTTTCCATCAATATCTTGTATTTCCTACCTTTTTTTTTATGGAATTCTCTTCACTGCGAAGTCTCACAATCTTCTTGTCTTGGGTAACCACTTCTCTTCTGTTGATTCAACGTCAAGAACTAAATTTCTTTCATTATGTGAAAATTCCAGATAGCCTTTTGCTTAATGTTTAATTTCCACATGAAGCAAAAAAATTTTTGTGTCTGTCTTTTATCTAACTACTCCCAGGTTGCTGGGCCAATCTCAACCAAACTTTGTGGGATGATAGTTTGGAACAAGGGATATGATATTGGGGTTCACAATCTCCTCCATCCCCATTATTGCTGTTATTGAGCATTTATTATCTTCGGCAAAAGTTAACTACATTCATAGATGGTGCCACGTCCTTACACCAAAACAAAAAATTCACTAAATTTTCTATAACACAACATACACACAGTGTGGAGGAGAGGATACATGTCTTATATATCTCAGAGAGTGCACTAGCACTCTGTGGAAGAATACAATAAAAAAGTGGCCACCACTATTGCAATAATACATAAACTCAGATAAAGTTTCTACTCCATCAGCCACCATAAGGCTGCTATGAAAAGCCATTTCTTGAGTTATACCCACTTCCTACTATTACTCTTGACTTTATGTCTTTGGCCAATAACCATAAATTAATTAATAACATGAAACAGTGTGGAAGGACATTAAGAGCTGGACGTTGAAATGCTGTGCGATGGTCAGGGTGGATTTGTAAATAGCGCCCAATGTAGTGACGGTAGGGGTGCCTTTTGTTACTTGCTATACAAAACTTTTGGTGAGGTAATAATGAATAATGTAATAATATCTAATAATAAACTCTGTGAAATTTATCATAACATCCACCCCCCCAACATTTTTTTAAGTTCATATCCCGAACAAAGGACAGATACCCCAGCTTGTCGTTAATGGTTCCTCAGAAATGTATCTTTAATGCTTTTAAGCCAGAAGTAAATTGGACATCTTTTAGTGGATTAAACTAGAGAATAAATAATAGAAAGTTAGATCTAATATGTATCTGTAATATTTTGTCACAGAGGGATTTTGTTTATCGACAATTACTTTTTAGACTTGTAAAAATATTATGCAAAGTTTTATAATAATACATCAATTCTTTAGACCATATTTTCACAATGTCCACTTGTAATGAAATATCCTTCGATAGGTAGTTATTGCAAATACTGGCAACTAAATTCTCAAAGGTATTACAGAAATTTCCTGAATCATTACATTGAAAGTTTGTTTTTTCTTTTTTTTATTACACACAATTGCAATAGTTAGAATTATATACCTTACTAATTAATGGTAAGTGGGATACTTTAAACTTTCATAATTCTTTTTTGTTCATTCAATTTCTCTTTCATAGTTCAGCCAGTAAACTTAAAACTTTTATGTCATCTACAGGCTCGACTCTTGCTTTTTCACTGTGCCAAGAATATTCTAAGCTGTGGAATGAAGATTCTTAGTTTGAAGCCCTTGGAGAGGATGTAACTGAATGCTTACATAAATATATAATTGAGTTACAAGAAAAATTTTTTCAGTTTGTACTACAGAATAAAGGTATTCTCTCTCTAAAATTCTGAATGATGACTTTACACTAATTTTCTTGTAACCCAATTTACTTATACTGTACTATTTCCTTCACCAAAAGCTGGTAAACTAAAATTTTGATTTCTACTTTATAACAGTTTTGGTCTATTTACAAATCTATAAAGCAAAACATTTCAGTTTTAATATATCAAATATATTACTAGAATACTTAGAATGACCATTGTGAGAGTACATAAAATTTTCAATTTAAGTTTTGTGTGTATGTACATAAAACTTGAAAAACCCTTTTCCTACAGACATATGGTCCCGTATGCGCTTCAACATTTTGACTGTCAGAGTAAAAAAAGAAACAGTAATGCTTTGTTTGCATAAGAAACCACGTTTGTTTTCACTTAAATGAGAATTTCCTTTTGATAAAATCGATCTTTATATAACAGGAATTATTATAGCTGCTTATATTGTGTGTAAGGTTAGGAATCACAGCAGACAACTGCATAGTAATTTGTATTTCAAATGCTGTCATACAAACTAAAACTTTTTACGGTGATTGTTTTCTTTCGGTAAGAGTATCTTTATTCCAACAGTCCTTATGCAATGAACATGGTATGAGGAAAGACAATTAATGTTGATATTTCTATAGAAAGTTTACATAATTCATCAAACAAGCTGTTGTACTATATATGAAGTGGCAGAATGTATGTTTCTATTTCTAATGGTAACATGGAGATAACACTTGTGTTATCATTCCTTTTCTGAAAATAATGTACTTTTTGCAAACACGCAGTTATATTACTTGTAATTGATGAGAAGTAGACAAAGGTCACGTACTAGCATTAACCCTCTCACTACAGGCTTGGTCGATTCAATCTAAATCTTGACCTTTAGAGTTTGAATACTATACATTTTAACATGTTTTGTGTATTCAAATTCGATGACGAGGAACCCACTTTGAGACTAATAATGGCTGGAGACGGCTTAAATGGGTAATGAAGAAAAACTTTAATATAAGTTTAACATGACAGCAAATGTACAACGTTTCGACAAAGGTTTTTTATCACCCGATGGTGTCAAAACCTTTTCGGAAAGGTTTTCATTTTCCTTTCTGTTTA